TTTAGGGGTTTAGAGGTTTGGAGTTTATGGGTTTGGGGTTTAGGGCTTGGGAATTAGCATTTCGGGTTTCGGGCTTGTGGCTTGAGATTCAGCATCTAGAGTTGCCATTTAGGGTTTCGGGTTTGTGGTTCAGGAGGCTGGGCAGCGTGCGTTGCGGACACCTTCATTCTAGTGCCAAAACGGATTGCGGCCAAGCTGCCCCGGCACGTTCGGAGGTTCCACCGGTATGTCATCTGCTTCTCCGTAAAGGTGGGCAATGATGGCTGGAGCGGCAAGGCTGGATCAGAGGAAATTGTGCTTCAGAAGCGCTCGAGATGCATGCACAAGGAACTCCGCAGCGCGAGATGGCCTCTGTCTAAAGGCTCTTCGTCCTCATACCCCACACCTGCAAGCTCCGCATTCAAGCATCTGTTCCTATATGGGGGTTTCCAAAAATAGGGGACCCTAATATAGCACCCTAAATAGTAGGATCTTTATTATAAGGACCCCAAAATACGGTACCCCTAATTTTCGGAACCTCCCATATCATAGTATGAGCGTAAGCATGCACGATGACCGGATGATGCCAAGCTTCGGTGGCGCAGCGGGGGAGCTATGCGAAGAGCTGATGCAAGACCTGAACTCGTGTCATCTGCCTTGGCTTCCGATCACCGACCAGCCCTCCCAGAAAAATGCCCAAAAGAAGCTTAAAGCTCATTCTGAGGACTAGGCCCACATTGAATGCACTTCGCAATCGTCCATGGGGCGAAACTTGAGCATCTGCGCCTGACGTTCCAGCTGGAGCTGCACAACTGGACCGTACATCTCAGGTGCAGGTAGAAAGAGGCCAACCCAGCATCCCAAACCCTGCATAAATCCACCTTGTTCGCAGCAGTGGGCGCGATGCCCAGCTGGTCCAAGTACCGATTGAAGTATTCATCCTGGTCGTATCTCTTCAGCACTGCTACGACCTTTCTTGCTGTATCTCAAGGGCTTCACAACAAGAGCACGGGCTCCGAGGCCAAGGTCCTGCACTGCATTGAGTATGTCTTGCTGGCCTGCAAGGCTCCGAGTTTCAAAAGTATGCACAATGTACTTACGCATCCGTTCGAAAGCAGAGACAAGCACGCGTATACATCAGTACATTCAAGAAGAGGGAGCAGCGGGAGAGACGGGGATAGACAGATAAGGATAGAGGGGCAAGAACAATCCTGCCACTGTCAGGGCTCGGGCTGTGTCCAGATACGTTTGCTCCACTCTTCAAGGGGATCACGACCTGGCAAGTGCAGACTAAAACGTCGGGTAGGCGAAGGTGGGAAGCGAGTGCGCCTCCATAGCTCGCAACATGGCTGCGTCTGCCATCAACAACCCATGCTCACTACCGACAATGCAACGAAGATATGTGGTCTCGGTCCTTGTTCTTCATGAGCTACTGATAGAGTCTCATAGAGGTTCTGCATTCCGAAACTGACATCATCATGTGAGCGAGAGCCAAACAGCCAGAGCGTAAAGACTTTGGATGCCTTCAGTTCAAATCTCAACTCCAATCCTTGCGATGTCTCCATCAGCTGCAGCTGCACACGACACGAAAGGAGAGTAGGGGACTGTCAATCAGATTCAGTGTGAGAGAGAGAGAGAGAGAGAGAGTGTGTGTGTGTGTGAGAGAGGGAGAGGCAAGAAAGACATTCGGAAGATGCAAAGGAAGCTTGGCAGACGTTGGATTATGCACTTCCACTGCTTTCTCACAGAGTTTGCCATCAATCTGGTTCTCGGTTCCTAGAAACCGAGACGATAAGAGTCTTTGTAAGACTCTGTCCAAGCAGAAGACACTGTGCCAGCTCAGAGCACCTGATCAAAGGTCTTCGCCGGCATCTGATCTGCTAGAGGTCATGGCTGGGATTGGCCGCACGCACCTTCTCCACCCGAACATCTTCCACAATAGCTCGCGCCGGATGCAGTAATGCCACTGTCGGGCCCTGTTTGGGAAGTGCCTCCTCCTGGATCACGCCATCCGCAGCCACAGACTTAAGCCAAACACCCGGAACACCCTGACCAGGCTGATTCGTTCCGTCCGGCATTAGGGAGCCTGGCTTGTCGGGCAGCGTCAGCACTTGATACTCAGCGTTGCACAGCACGAGGGCGGCAAAATGATCGATGGCTAAGCCCGTCTCCCCCGGATGGCGTCGCAGCATCTCGGCAAAATCGGTAGAGCGGAGGACACCGTTACTCTGAACACGGTCGTGATGCGGACACAGGAGTCCTGGCAGAAAGCCCAAACCGGGAACACGAATATACTCCCACTCGCG